AGAATGCACCCAGGAGGTAGAGGCAACAAAGCGTTGTCAATCACTCTTCTCCTATGAATTGCGGTCAGAACCTTGTGGGGCGCTGACATGCTGACTAAGGCGTTGGTCACTAGCACCACAAGACAGTTGGTGGGGTTGTTGTTCTGAGGTGGTAGTTCATTGTAGCGCTTGTGATGGGCTTGCCAATTGTAACTCACATAATCTAAAAGGTCTATCTGGTCACCTTTTTCATTGTTTCCCTTGATTTCCTGTCATTTCTGTTTAGATGCATCCATGAAGGCCGCCAGTGAGACATTGGCCACCATGGTGAGGCGCTCAGCTGTTGCTGGAGAGGAGTGAAATGCCTCCTTCTTGTTGCTGGTATTGGACTGGCATGATTTCTGTGAAGCATCTACTTTTACAGTGACCAACCAAAAGGAGCTGTATTTTTACAAGGCCCCTGATAGGTGGGCATAATGAGCATGTGCTGCCATTGACTTCAACTGGCCAAGGTTTTGGACTGAAATGGCTTGTGTGGGCGCACTTTGTGTGGGGGCGAGGCCAAATGGACGCCCAGTCTGTCCTTGCTCTTGCCAACATGGCAACCAGCAGGTGGCTGGTGCGAGCTGGACAATGACTGGCGGTGAGCTGCATTGAGGTCTAAGCTATCTGACACCACCACCTCCACCACCTCCACCACAGTGGCAGTGATGCACTGCTGGCACATGTTGCAATGATGGTGTGCAGGAGGGTATGTTGGTGATGGTGCTACATGCTGCTCACAGTGATGGCAGAGTGATGAGGGCACAAGTTGGCTGTCACACTGGTACTGCTTGTGCAACCACAGCACTAGGGCACATGGCTGGCATCAGCTGCCCTGGCAATGCAGCACACTGCTCTGGACCTGACACTGCACCACCTCATACTTAGCACATTACCACCACTTGCTGAAACCAGTCCATTTGTCCATGAGCAAGTGGTGAGGACACAGCCAGCCAGCAGGAGCTGGGGTGGGCCAGGCAGCTCTCTCCTTGTGCTGGGTGTGCCCACAGCAAAGTGCAAAAGTGGTGGGCTGAACAACAACAAGGAGGGCAGCAAGCGTCTTGGTGGCGCTGCCCTCTCAGGCCATGAAATGCAAAATAAAGTGCGCCAAAGAAACAAACAAATTTCTTCTTTTCCTTTGCCCTCTCCCTGCAATCAAAGAAAACATGTGAGTTATAAGTTCTAACTCAGTGAGTGTGGCACGTCAAGTACCACAGTGGACATGAC